CATCATCATCATCATCATCATCATCATCATCATCATCCTCCACAGTCCTCATTGTCATCGATTGCGCCACTTGTGTAAATGCCATGCCATTCGTCGCCCATATACTCTTGTCTCACACGTTCTCTCTGTCTGCCAAAAACATTAGGTGTTGGACAACTCTGTTTGTCAGATTTCTGTTTTGTGCTTGCACAGGTACCTTCGCATAATTACTGACCCCTGGTAGGCGCCATCAAAAAACCTGTTTGTGCTGCCGATTAGGCTTAGCAGTACTGGGGTAATATGTCAGAGAAGGACATCCTTTGGCTTGTAGTTTACCGTGTGTTGTTTACCAACTGATGTGCCTCATTTTCATGCTTTGAAAGCCTTGAGGCAGTGATGGGGGTATTCAAGGCCATCGAAAAGCAGGTTGTTGATTTCGCTTGGAGCAATCCATCAGTTCGATTAGGCCTTTGTCTTTGGTGAAATCACAAGCCTCATTTCATTACTAAATGCGGTAAGGCCTAACCACTCCTCACTTGGAGCTAGAGCCTTAGGATCTCAGGGCCCGTGTGCCTGGCGGCTGCGGTGATTCGGTCATGAACGTCTCAACTGTACTTTTTATCAAATTCATTGGGATGCCTTGGCTGGCTGTTCGAAGTCCGCGACTAGTTAAATCAGTAAAAATCGATAAGGATGCATAACGAGAATTCCACCGTAGGTAGCGACGATGTCCGTCATGTGTCCTAAAGTATGGCCGACCCAGAAACGGTGATTTACGAGTGTTTTAGTTTATAATAATCGCTGCATCTGCCATAATCTCACCCTCCTCCCCCTAACCTAACTGAGTCCTGGGTCAGTACAGAGTCCACAAGACCAAAGCTGGAACCGGAATGAAGGAGGTAACCAACCCGTCTACAGGTTTCACATACGCCTGATCCACACGAAGTGAATCAGGACCTCAAACAGACAAGGAAAGGGCGGTTCGCACATTAAGAAGGAACAACTGCAGCTTGACTCGTCCTAAAACGAGAGGACCATGTTATCCCGCCACTTGGGATTCTTTTAAGTCACGACTTTTTAAGCGCGCTGTGATTGCTTCAGGCGCATCATACTGTTTATGGTGGGAACTGTGTGCTATGTGTAGCTATGTGCTATGTGTGCTGTGTTTCCGGGATCCACCCCCCTCCCCTTACAGGTATCAGTGCCCTGACGTGCCGGTCATACGGTGCGGGAATGGAGTGCAAGTGGCTGACAACTATACAGTACATGCCATACGTGCTCTGGCCCCAAAAAATGACCACTTTTTCTAAAAGGCGCAGTGAGCTTCTCTGATCCCACTGAGTGGAAGTGCCATAGAGGCCATATTACTAAGTCATTGTTTCAGTCTCAGTCCACCAGTTACTCACACCACATACACTAGACTTTCTTTGTGCTCTCAATTGTATCGTCAGTTGGCAGCCTTCCAATCCACCACGTTTAGCGCGTTGTGGTAGATTCAGGCGCTATTTGAGGCGAATGTTCGAATTCTAGGTGTA